CGACTTTAGTGACCAAACCATCTAAGACGACTTTATCTAATTTTGTCCGTCACAGCTATCACGGATATACTATCACGGATATACTCATTTCGCATTTTGTCTCTTAAGTGTAAAGCCACTCATCCACTTAATCATTCTCATCTCGGCAACACTTAACTTTTTTCTATGTTTCCCTTTTAAAGGCCAACATTCAACGCCATAGAGCATTGTAGGTCTCACCACCGTCTTATAAAATTTTCCTTTTATTTTAAGCAGTACTTTTAGTTTAAACAATTTAAATTTTCTCTTTTGTGTTCAATTACCAGAAATACCTATGCTTATTTTACATGTTTGTCCGCCATATGAATTGGATTTTTGAAACTACAAATTAAATTAAAATTTCAATTTATATTAATTGGATGCTGTTTCTTTTATCATGAGGCTTCATTAGGCTGTTTTAGAAAAGCAGAGTTATTTGCTTCTTGGAAGGAATGATGTCGAGAAGTTGATGAGACTAGACCCAGCCAACTCTTGTTTTCAGAACTCTTATGGACAAATGATGAAAAACAACGTTTCAGATACAGAGAGTATTGAAGCTGAGAGAGAAATGAGCAATCTTTTATTGAATTTGCGGCCAATTAAACAGGTTTAGCTTTAATTTGCAATTACTCAAGTACAGTTCCAAGTACATTTCCACTTTTTTTTTTAAGTTACATGCTATGTATTATTTTTGCAATCTGTTTCTAAAGCCTTACTTTCCTCATTTTACCTTAAAATTTTGCCATTATAATCAGTTCTTTTGAGTTATATGCCATCATTGAATACACTAACTTCATTAAATTCAACTTGATTGTTTTTGTTCGGGCTTGCTAAATCAGAAGTGTGCTCATTAAGTATTTCCTTCCCTCATGAAGGGGTCCTTACAAATTTTTTTAGTTTCTCCTGGTAAAAAGTGAACAAAAAATTGCCTTTTAATGTCTCTGTAATTATGTTATGGTAAGTACTGTTCCAAGCCATAAAAACTGACAATGCCCAAGAATATTTTTAGTCTGTCCTAGTAAATGACCTCGTACATCAAGGGATTATCGACTGAAGCTCCTCTTTCGACATCTCTTAACAAAATGGGGTTATTTGAAGGAAAAAAAAAACATCTTTAACTGTAGTCTATATCAGTAATGTTCACAAATAATTCTAAGATCTTTGGGAAAAGCCATCCTAACAACTACATATATTATTTATAGAATGCTCTAAGTGTACTTCAATTTGAAACCCCTATTCAAACCATTCTCAATTAATTTTTTAGAACAAAAATCATTTCTTTTGTTCCTCCAATAATCTTATGGTGTGTATATTTCATTAACATTTATTTTGAACACCAAAATAATATATATACCCTGAATTTATTAAAAGGATTGTTTTTGGATACTCCCCAAATCAAAAATATTATTAACATTATTCTTTGGTCACTAGACAAACTTATAATTTCATGGACAAGCTTGAACACTAATCTTACTTCCTCCAATAAATCATGGGGGAGGAAATTAAAGATTAAGAATTTAAGTCTCAAACTTTTTTAATTATCCACTAACATCTTTCATCAAACCCATTGACAATGAATATTTTTGTTGCCTTTCATTCAACCTACTAAAACCTCATCAAAACTGCAAACTCCCTCATCATCTTATAGTATATCCAACCCATTAAAGCCTAACAGAATTACACTCTCATCGTTTTGTTAATACACAACCTATGGGAAATAAACTTTGTTCATGCTAGAAAGGAAAAGAAAAATCAAGTATAGGGGCAAGTAACATATCTATAGCATAGCAAAGAATTCAAACCTGGTTTAGAGATCAATTGAATACAAATTTGTAAAACAAAACGCATAATGATTATATTAATCTCCACTGCCCTATTTCCTTAAAAAATGGGTGAGGTCATGTGCCAAATGTCCAATCAATGATTTCATGATATATACAAGAGGTTCGCTTCAATATTTTATACATTCTATTGATAAAATATATATTCCAAAAAATATTATTAATATTGCTCTCAAATTCACCAAGTGAAAGAAAGCTTTATTGCAAGAAAGCATGGTCTTAGAACAGTGTGTTATGTGAAAGGTTTTTGAATTTCTACTAGAAAAATAACTGATTGGATGCAAATGAATCATTACAATCAAATATACAACACATAGGACTATATCTAAATTTGACCTATTACAAAAGGATATACCTGATCGTATGGAATTGATTTTCAAAAAGTTTTTCCTCTTTTGATAAGCTCAACAATATATTTGGACTGGCCTTCAGATCAGCTTGACAATAAGATTTTTTTTTTGTAGAAATCTTGATAAGTAGATATAGTGATCCTATCTGGATTAAAAATTTGAGAAACACCAATAAGTTATGTTAAACCAGAAAAGCTCTACGTGGCCTTAAACTATCTTCTCGTGGCTGGGTTGATAGATTCTTTGAATGTATTGAAAAGTATGTCTACAGTCAACGCCAAATTGATAACATTTTCTTTATCAAGTGCTCAGCTTAAGGAAAAAGGCAATTTTAATCATGTATATGACGATATTGTATTGCGGGTGATTATAAAGAAGAGCTAACTATATTGAATGCAGTTTTGACAACAAAAGTTTTGGTAATAGAATAGAAAAAATTAAAGTACTTTTTTGATATGCAAGTGGCATGATCAAAACAATATATTATTAGTTTCAACGGATATATTTTTTGATTTAGTTAAAGAAACAAGAATGCTTGGATGTACGCCCACTAAAACTCCAATGGATCAAGCAAAAAATGTATTGGGATTGCCATGACACTATGAAAGGCTTGTTATGTAAAACGCCATCCAATATGAAAATTAAAATTTTCATAAATGCTGATTGGGTTATTGATATATCAAATTGAAGATTCATCTCTACTTATTATACTCTGTTTGTGAAAACTGCGTTATATGGAGAAATAAGAAATAAATTTTAGTCTCAAGAACCAATGTTAAAGCTGAATATAGGGTAATAACACTAGGTATTTGCAAAGAAATATAGTAAAAAAGATTGTTTGAAGAACGAATGTTGCTGGAATCAACCAAAACCACAATAACGGAAGCAATATTATTAAGCAAAGCAACTAGGGTTACAATCAAATCTCAAACGGAAACGAAAAACAAAACCAACACTAATATCCGGCTAGGGTCGAGTAGGAATATTTGTGGACAATGGCGATGAGGCTGGATTGTTGGTGGTTGAGCGGAGAAGTGTAGGTGGGGAATTGGTTGGAGACAGTGACGGTTGAGTGGTTGACGGCTTTATACAAGAAGAAGAGGAGGGGCCTGACGGCTTGGGAATGAGGGAAGGTATATTACCTTTAGCGGTTGGAATAGGGGAATGTAAGGTGGATGGCGGCTAGAATAGGGGGAAAGTAAGAGGGTGACAGGCGGTTAGAAAAGAGAGAAAGGTAGAGGGAGGCCGACAGGGATTGGTTGGAGGCAGTGACGGTGGAGTGGTTGACGGCTGTAGATAAGAAGAAGAGGAGGAGCCCGACGGCTTGAGAACCAAGGAAGGTACATTACGGTTAGCAATTGGAATAGGGGAAGGGAGGAAGTAAGAGGGTGGCCCGACGGTTGGAAAAGGGAGAAGGGTAGAGGGAGTCCAGCGGCTGAAAGAGGGAGAAGGGGGAGTTTGAAAGGGAATCGTGGAGATAATCACCATCTCAGAGAATGATATAGTCAGAGCATCACCTATCATCGGATACAACCTTGACAAGGGGAAACGCATGGAGGGAGAAGTCTGAAAATAAACAAAATTGAACCCGAACTTAGCAAACACCATATTTATAATAGATAAATACGAGGGAAAGGGAGGGGAGGGCGGCAGTTTTCACCCAACAACTGGATCAATTCTCGACCACTGAACTGATCGGTTCTGCTTCATAAGCCCCGTGTCAGTATCCTGCGGTTAGGGGAGCTTAGACTTCATTCGAGGAAGCTTTTGGTTCCTTATAGTACGATGTTAGGTCTGCGACAATAAATGTGGCAGAAATATTGTAGTCCCCTGGCAGGTCGATCTTATAGACGTTGTCAGTCCGCTTTTGAAGTATTTTGAAAGGTCCATATGCTCTGGACTTGAGTTTTCTGAATGCTTCTATTGGGAATTTCTATTTCATCAACCGGATCCTTATTCGGTCTCCTTTAAATGTCACCTTTTTTATTGCCTTGTTTGACTTTTCCTGATACTTGAAATTCTGCTTAGTGATCTCTTTTCCAACCTCCTCATTGATCTTCTGAATCTCATGCACCCATTCCTCTGCGTCCTCACTAATCACTGACGTCTGCGGGAGTGGTACCAATTCGAGCGGTGTGAGTGGGTTGCACCCGTACATGATCTCAAATGGGTTGTGACTTGTAGTTTGAATCACAGATCTGCTATAGTCAAACTCGATTAGAGTTAGAATTAAATCCTACTGCTTAATATTCTTCCCAACAAAGCATCTTAGCATATTTCCAAGGCTCTTGTTCACTACCTTTAGCTGCTCGTCTGTCTGTGGACGTGCTGTGGAACTAAATTGAAGCTTTGTGCCCGGTTTTCCCCATAGAGTCCTCTAGAAGTGACTTAGGAACTTGGCATTCCCGTCTAAAGTGACGGTCCCTGGTTTCCATACAATCTTCCGAAAGTACAAGTCAATGATATGTGATGCATCTAGTGTGGTGGTAGGGTACGAAACATGGCATATGTAAGGATTGATCTTCAACGACCATGACTAAAACCTTATTCCACTATGTCTTCGGATGACCCACTACAAAATTCATGCTAACATCCACCACGGTGCCTTTGGTACCGGTAATGGGGTGTAGTCTCTCCACATCTCTTGCTAGTCAGATAAAAAAGAAGTGTTTTCTTTAGAGCCCGAGACTCTTGTCCCTGCCAAAATACTCTGCAAGTCCTCCACTGTGACTTCTTGAATAATGAAATCGCTAAACGAACATCTAGGAATACACAACTTACTTTGGTAAAACATGAAATCCTAAGCTTTGTTGTACTGCTTGGTAGGCTTCTCTTATCATTGCTCCCAGTTTATCTAAAAATCGTTGTCTGTCTCGTATAGCCCCTTTATTGTCTCAAAGCCTACAACTCGAGCATACATCGCTGTGATCAACAAATGACAACGACTCAGTGCATTCGCTTCGCGTTTTTGAGTCGTCGCCTTATGCTTGAGCATGAACTGGAATGCGTTGAAAAACTCCTCCCAAGCTGCGTGTTGGCCCTTCAGTTTGCTTTGATTGTTTAATAATTTTAAGGCTTCGTGGTCTGTGAACAACGTGAACTAGCTTATCAGTAGATAATTACTCTAGTGCTTAAGAGCTTTTACAATAGTATAAAATCCCTTGTCGTACGTCGAATATTTTCTCTTGGACTCATTTAACTTCTTATTGAAATAGTTGATAGGCTGATCTATCTGGCTCAACACTACTCTTATCCTCACGTCGGATGCATCACACTCAACCTCAAATAGCTGATTTAAATCTTGTAATGCCAAGTCTGGTACTTGGGTCACCTTCCCCTTTAGTGCGTCGAAACTATTCTGAGTTGTATCTGTCCACTGGAATTGCTTCCTTCAAAAGCTCTGTCAGGGCGGCGGT